GGATGGATGGATGGATGGATGGATGGATGGATGGATGGATACATATGCACATACCTGGGATAACTGCAGGGGCAGCTGCCACTACTGGATAGTTAGATTTATATCCTCCTACCTCTTCTCCAGAAGCTTTGGGTTAGGGCGGATCTCCCATCATTTTGTCCCCATATCAATAAATCTGTGAGGTAGTTGGGCTGGTCCAGAGCCACCCAGGAAATTTCCATTCGTGTGGAGTCCTTGGGGTTCTCTGAGCTTGGTTCTTTTCTTGCAAACGTTTCATTACCCGGCTAGGTAACATCTTCATTGCACCTATGTTACCTAGCCAGGTAATGAAACATTTGCAAGAAAAGAACCAAGCTCAGAGAACTCCAAGGACTCCACAGTTCAACCCTGAGCTACACATATTCACCTCTAATTTCCATTAGGCTAAGGGTAGACTTGAACCTACATTTCCCCCGTCTTAGTGCAACATCTTTATTAGTCCAACATACATTTCCTCCAGATTTCCAGCTTTTTTTTTTTTTAATCTAGCCTCTAGCTCATCTAGAACATAATGGAAACACAAAGGTCACTTTTCTCCCTGTTGATATTTAAAAAAGAACCTGTTCCTGCCTTGTACTCAGGAACTAGCTAGGAACTATTTCTTTCCCCCTTTTCTTCTTTCTTTCCTGCTCTCCAAGCAGGCACTTTTGTACAGTGCTTCCTCTCTTCAGAAGGCAGGAAGAATAGCTTGCCCTGAGGGTGGGGAGAGGCCCCCACCTCTTTCTGGAAGACATTGGAGCCAACTTTTCTAATTGGGAGGCAGCCCATAACTGGGCAGTTCAAGGGGCACCCCTTTTTCACATGCAGCACATCTCAAGAGGGGAGTAAGCCATAGTGCTTCCACTCAAAGTCAGAAGGTACAGTAGCAGCAAAGAGAGCAAGCCGTAATGTTTCTAACTTGTTTTTGTTGTTGCTGTTGTTCATTATGATTTAAAATAGTTCAACAGTTTTAATGGTTTCTAAGTTTGCAAGGTGTTACACTGTCGATGTTTTGCAAAAAGAAAAAAAAAGTCCATTGTTACTACCATCTTGTTGTCAAAAGAAGAGATTGAGTTATGCCAGCCTTGCCAGGTAATCCAGTATTATAATGCCCATTTAGTGTAGAAGAACCCTACTCTGTGGAGTAATCCAGAGTTAGCAAGCACTGGTTTTCCTTCAGGTAGCCCATACAATTTTAAGACTGGAACAGCTTGGGGGTTTTGCTCATTTCTGTTTTAAAATATTGGATGCTTTTCCTGACCAATGATGCGAAGTTGTCAGTTACAGAAAAGGTGATGGTGCCACAAATCGTCTATACAGGTTAAGATTGTGGTACTGTGTTTTGCTATGGGATGTGACACTGAGCAACAAAATAAGAACGGATAGGTCGGTTGTACTGATGCATGCCATATAAAGAAGTTACAGTCATATCCAATACTACAGACCAGCCCCCCCAAAAGAATTCCTCTAGATGCCTATGATAAAAATTATGTAAGTATGATTGATGGGTGGGTATTAGTCTTGTGACCTAATAGCGGGGGGAGGGGGCACTTTGATAGAGAAGGCAGAACATGGGAAGGATTAACCTTCCAAACACTTCCAGTAATCCTGCTCCAATCAATCTAAAGCCTCCAGAAACTGCTCTAAAGAAAAATGTTACATCTCCCATGTCACACACAAGATAGCCCTACGGTTCTTATTTGCTCTACATGTTGACATTTTGATGGCAGTTGGAAATTCTCCCTTGTGTCAACATCAGCAACAGTCAGGCTCAGGCTTCCACTGCCAAGTTCAAACCATACTTACGCAGAATAGAACTCCTAGAAATGATGCTGATGTTTGTTTGTTTTTTTAATCTCCCAAATTGTGCTCCCTGGTGTGGCCAAGTCCGTAATTATGACATGAAAGTTAGATGCTTTGTACAAGCCAGCTGAGATCTTGATTTTTTTTCTGCTGTGATGTTTTTGTTATATTTTTGAAAAATTGTAAGTCATCAGATTTCCTGCTGGCAGTGAGTAGACTTCAAGCTGAAGAATGCTGTAAGTGATGCCATTTCATATTTGTAGAGATAATTTATCCTAGCATTTGAGAATTATTTTCCTATTCCCTGTATCATATTCCAAAAACCAAGGGTTTACAGCTCAGTGTTCCACTACCGTGTAAAGTGTAGTAAAGCTGACCAAATATTTATGCAGAGAAAGTAAACTCTGCTTTAATAAGATTTTTTCTTTTTCTTTTTTGCTATGAAACTGCCAGCTTCATACTTCCTTCGAAAAATTTTCCGTGCTGCCTAGATGTTAAATGTCAAGTGAACCAATACCTCCCTGAGGGCAAGGATACATACAGCACTTTTACTATTTCATGACTTTGCATAATGTATGTGTCTTGAAAGAAATCCCATTGTCTCTAGAAAATTCACCTGTTTCATCTCATTTATCCACATGGCTGCAGATTTCCTGTCAAATTGTGTTAGATCCACCCTGAAATACAGCTGTTTGTTTCAAGCTTTTCTCCCTTTTTGTGGGTGATGGTAGTGGAGGCAACAGCCATTTGATATTTAAGCATATATTATAGACCTTTTTTTAAAGGAAAGCACAATTTAAGTGGCTCTCATGCAGCTAAGGATACTATCTACAAAATAGACTTTTCTTAAATTTTGCGGTGGTGGGATTGATTATGTTCCATCAATTCACTGTTGACTTCCAGCAACCACATAGACAGATTTTCTTCATGACAATCTGTCCCTAACCTGATCTTTCATGTCTTCCAACGATGCACTCATTGCCATTGTAAGTGAGTCTATCCATCTTGCTGTTGTCATCCTCTTCTTCTTTCCTTCCACCTTTCCCAGCATTAGACCCTTCTCCAGAGATATAGATCTTCACATAGTCTGTTCAAAGTAGGATAATTTGAGCCTGGTCATTTGTGCCTCAAGTGAGAACCCTGGGTTGATTTGTTTGATTATCTATTTATTTGTTTTCTTAGCTGACCATGATATCCTCAGGAGTCTTCCTGAACACCAAATTTCAAAAGCATCAGTACTCTTCTTATCCTGTTTCTGTTTCTTCAAAGTCCATCTATAAAATCCTATGAGGATTAATATGTTTGTAGAACATTTCAGAGTTGGAAAATTTGTCAATTTTATGGATCCTTGAGATATGATTTATGAAAATAGGCCTTAAATGTGACAATATATTAATCTGCTTTCTTGGACCATTGTTCTGGTTGTGGCTAATTTATACATAATTCAACTTGGTTGTTGTAGCTATTCTTAAATACCTGTATTGATTTCCATTAGATGTACATATTGGCCTAGAAGTAATGGATCATTATCAATCTATCTGTTTTCTGTAACATTGCAATCTAAGATTTGTTTATTTATATAAAAATTATATTTTTCTAATGTGTATGTTAATCATTAGAAGGCCAATCATTTTAGGATCATCCTAGGCCACCTGACAATGCTGAGGTCAACTTCTTATGGCTTATATGACAAAAGTCCTCTAGTGTCACAGCTAAAAGCAGAGACCTCCCTATCAAGGAAAGGCAAATGGCAGCAGAACCAAGTTTTGGAAAGAATGTCACAGAATTTAAGCAGAAATGTCCAGACCTGCTAGTTATGTGTGCCAAGCAGAATGGCCTATCTCATCTATAATCCTCAGAATGATAGGCAGATTGGAAAGTTTATTGTCCTAAAACAAACCATAGTTTACTTATTGTTCCTGTTTGCATATATGGTTTAGTGCAGGAATTTACTATTTTCATCAGCCTACCAGTTGCATCAAATTTTGCCTGATGTGCTGAGGACTGCACTCCTAAATTGACAGGACTCATTTTACATTGAGTTCAAGGGTTTAAGTAGTGAGAAGTTTCTCATCCTTGCCAAAACTTCTCTGGTGGGCAGACAAAGAATGTTAGCAGGTCTTCAGATGTTTGACTCTCCTGATTTTAGTGTGCCATATGAATTCATGTGCTGTTTTTCCCATTTTTAAATTAGATTTGTACCCTGGGTTTGTTATGATTCTGATTTTTATAGGCAGACTGTAACAGATTTTTAAAATTTCTACTGAAAATTCATCAAAGCCAAGAATTTGCATATTTTAGGAATTTATTTAATTGTTCTATTTCTATTGAAACTTCTATTCAGTAAGGAACATCTTCTTTGGTTGTCCTACTGTAGCTGTCTCAAATACCTATTCATGATACACGAAGAATGATTCGTGAGTTTATTTCTACAGTGCTCTTGTTATATTGTCAGGTGGGCTCCTCCTCATATTATTTCAAAATGAAATGAAATTCTGTGGTATGAAATAACCAGGGTAATTTTTCACATCTTAAAGCACAGCAGGTAGGATTTAGTCATGACTAAGTTAAGCTCCATTGATTTCTGTGAATCACTTGAGCTGAAGGCATGACTAAGCCTGCAAAAATCTACTGCGATACTTTCTATATTAAGACTAATAAATGTAATAAGCAAAAATTAGTATGGATAAAAGGTTTGAGCTCTGAGCACAGCAGCCCCAAAGGTATTGCACCTAATGTGATCATTTAGTTTCCCAATGAAACGTAAGTCTTTATCTATGCAGTTGAGTTCCACTGATTTCAGTGGGATTTGCAATATAATTCTGTATGCTAACTACTCCAAAATAAAGCTAATGAGGTTCAGGGAAACTTATTTTCCAGTCAACATGTTAAGTCTTAGTTGTTGGTTTTTAACAGAATTTTCCTTATGCCTGACCATGTGGGAAACTTAAATATCTTCATAATTGATCAGATTAATTTGAGTGATACAGATACCTTGACTGTATTTATGTTCTTTCTTTTGTGTGTGTGGTTTTGCATAGTTTTTGAAGAGCCCGAAGACCCAAGTAACAGATCTTTTTTTTCTGAGATCATCTCTTCAATTTCTGATGTAAAGTTCAGTCATACTGGGAGGTACATCATGACCAGGGATTATCTCACTGTCAAGGTGTGGGATCTGAATATGGAGAACAGACCTATTGAGACATACCAGGTATTCTGACTTGATCCCTTGTTTGCTATGATGTGCATGAATGGTGTGGGCACTAAATACAGTGTCAGAGTCTGCACACTCAATCCCAAAGTTCAGTAAATCCTCTGGAGACAAAAAGTTCCATCAGAGATTTC